CAGACTGTTGAGGGTTCAGCCTCCTGATGAGTCGGTGAAACTCCGACGAAACAGTTTGTCACAGCCCCTCGTTTGTTGTCCTCTTCTCCCTCTCTGCCTACGGTTTACCGGGCAGTTCTATTTGACGAGATATATATATATTAAACTACTACTAATAATAATTACCTGAAGTCCAGAGTTAGGACGGTGGAGGCCCTCAGAGGGGCATCATTCCTTCGGGAGAGGCTGATTGGCAGACCCGGCAAACCCCAGGGGCAACGGCTACCGTCTTCACCCGAATAGAACGGCCGGTAATTATCGCCGTATCTGGACTGCAAGTTGTGCCAAATACTGCTATGATGACCGGGCGTTATATTCGGGTGAAGACGGTAGCAGTAATTATCATTCAGGCGTAGCAGTGTTTGTGCTGATGTGATACGTTGCTGATGTCTGTGTTTCAGGAGAAATTTCAAGAGGCAATGAACAAGTCCTCCCTTGTGGATGAGCGGGGTTTCAGTGTAGAGTTGCCTGCATCCAGCATAGCTCGCGAGGAGATTGTATCGCACACGATGGATTTCTCGTCGACATTCAATGCGGATGTAGAAGCGATCGTGAGAACGTCTCGTCAGGATGTGTACAGGTATAAGGAGCTGATCGAACAGCAAAAAGAGTGCATAAGGCAGCTACGAGAGCAGGTTGCGTTGCTGGAGGGTGGGGACGATACAGTTCAGAGAGAGGGTGGAGGAATGGGGCGAGATTCCGGAAAGGTTGGAGACGAGATCGTGAGCAGGGGGTTGTCAGGCCCCTTCGCATCCAGAAGGGTAAGGACGTATGATGATACACTTAGCGTGGACGATGTCTCTGGTGGGTTTTGGAGGTTCGGCAGGAAGCAAAGCAGGGTTGGTAGGGTTGGGAGGAGCGGGCCGATTGAAAAGTCAGCACCACTGCTTCGGGAGGGGATTGATCGGTCGGGGCCGATCCCTCCGGGAAAGACTCCACGGTATGCGACAGTCGATTGGTGTATGGACACGAACGTGGCCAAAACTGAGAACCCAACGAATTTGCGGAAGGAGTCTTCGAGGGATGGCAGAGAGGCAAGTGGTGGACGTGATGGAGGCGGGGGAGGGGGAGGGGGAGGGGGAGGGGGATCTGGATCACTTCTTGGAGGAGGGGGCGGATCGGGTGTGATTAGTGGAGGGGGGGGGGCGTCTGGATCGGCTATTGGGGGCGGAGGAGGAAGTGTTGGGTCGGGAGCACTGGTTGGAGGGGGCGGGTCATCTGTTGGGAGTGGAAGTGGACTGGGTCTCGGGAGGGACGCGTTGGTCTCAGTACCACGGCCACACTCTGCCGGGACAACTCCCTCGAGAGGGCCTGGTGGTGGGGGAGGCTCTGGAGGCTCAGGTTTGCTTACCCACGAGCGAGTTGTTGGTGTGATCCCACCGCCACCCTCACGGGAGGGACGGGAAATTCAGAGGACAAGCTCAATGAGCGCAGCAGGTTCTCGGGACTTGTCACCCTGGGGAACGCCTTCGCCCGGGGCAGCCTCTGGGCGAGATGCATCGGTATCACAGCCACGCTCCACTGCCCAAGATGCGAACTTCCTGTGACAACTCCCTCCCAGGAATGAGACCCTCTGAATGCTCTTTGATTGTTTTCAGCGAGAGTCTCAAGGCCTCTGGCTGTCCCCTGTAGGGCATACTCACACGACGACTTTTGCGACAAAGCTCTGGACGCGATTGTCGCCAGATTCCTTAACTGTCTGGCCGTAATTTGCAATCAGATGCATTCTTGGAAAGTGCTTGTGTGAGCATGCCCTTACACACAAGCAGGCTGCTTCTCTAACCTGATGGTGGAGGAGGTTTCCCTCTCCCTCTCCCCTCCCTCTCCCTCTCCCTCTCCTTGCACTGTGTCCCTGATTGCGCTCGCTTCCTTGCAAGGGTTTCTTGGTGACAGTCAAGGGTTCTGAAGTATCTCCTGAAATATCTCCTGTCTGAGAAACGCAGGTTTTGATCGGTGATGGCAGGTCTCGATGCTTCGACGAAGGAAGTTCTCTCAAGCGGTATGTAGTTGTCTAATTTTCCTTTCTAAGGCTTTCTTTCTTTCTATGTTATTTTATTTTTCCCAGATTTTTTTCTTATTCTATTTGGGTGTATGTATTGTATGGTCCAACACCAGGAATTTACATTGTTGAAGGCAGCCCCTGATTCGTTAGCGTCTTACCGAAGGACAAGGACACGCATCCCATTCAAACTTATTATGTCCAATGACTGCAGTCACTGACAGATACATTCAGATGTCTGATGACTCCCATCACAGACAGATGCGTTTGGATCCAACGCGAAGCAAAGGGGCTGTGACAGTTATGAGGCTCATCATCATGGTTATGGGTCCTCCTCAGCTGGCAGTTTTGGGCAGAGGACCCAGCAACTCGCTCGTCTGTATGAGGCTGCTTTTTCAATAACCGGGGATCGAATCGTGTAGCGCTTCGACTTCCCTTTTTTTTTTTTTTTTCTGTCTCTGCCTTTTACTTTTTTCTTTTTGGCCGTCTCGTCTTTTCTAGAATTGCACTGCACATGCCGTTGCGCGGATGCAAAGAGTGGGTGCAGCATCTATGCCTTGCCGTCTCCCCCATTACAGCTTGAGGGGGTAGTTCTGTCCATTGAGTACCATGGCATATGTCATCTCCTGGGTGTTTGTTAAGTTTGCCCGAGACCGGGATCCTAGTCCCGCAGTTGTCAGCTGGGCCCAGGTTAAGGAATCTGCTGACCATGTGGAGCTGATAGCAGAGCAGGTCGCGCACAGCACATGGGCGCTGCATCGAGATGATAAGAACGTGGGTCAGCGATCGGCATTCTCACCCCGTCTGCGCTCTTCACAAGCGAGAAAACGAGTCGTCTTGCGTCCATTCGTATCTGGCTTTGAACACGTCTAAGGCATCACACTTTTGTGCATTTACTATTTATAGACAACCGAAATGCGGATGGCATTGCTCTGCACTACATCGGAAACCGGGTCGTGTGTGCCGGCATGAGTAGGGGTAGGGGCCGGGAGACATCGACTGTATAGACACACTTACCCGTAGTGTGAGCGGAGCTTAGCCGGGTGATTGGCGAATTGCAAGTGGCGAGTAGCGGGCTTGGTAGTGAGTAGTACTCTTCCCCTGCATAGGCGTGTTGCATCCTGCTGGCGCGGTGAGGTGGAATGTATGGATACCACCATCCATCCTCTGAGTGGAGCCAACCCGGCCTGACGAGCAAGCAAAAGTGGCAGCAGTATGCTCGGTTCCTTGCAAATGGCGTGTGTCATGCTGTCTGAGTCATTTCTAGAATAGAGTTGGCATCAACGCAAAGCACAGTTGACACGTCAGAGTCAGCAACGAGGGTTGAAGAGCAGGCGCAATCCCCAAAAGTCCAAGGGGGGGGCAACAGGACAGGGTAAGAAGGCCCCAAAAGTTCAAGGGGGGGGCAAGAGGACAGGGTAAGAAGGCGCCAAAAGTTCAAGGGAGAGGGTGCAAGAGAATAGGGTAAGAAGAAAGTCTGGTTTCGCATGGAGGACATGCCACAGGGGGGTAATGGTGCAAATGTTTTGACGGCAGGGGGGCTTATATGTGTGTGCTACCGTGCAGTGGTGAGACTGGTGACGGATCGGAGTATCTGGATATAATTGAAAAGGCTGTATGTCTTCTCCGTCGTGGAACGGTACGCATCTTACTGTCAAGGAACAGATCATGAAATCCGCATCCTCATGGATCAATGACATGAGTGGCCAGCGAACCGCTCTCCCCTTCAGAAAAGTAGTTAGCTGTTACGACTGAAATCGGTAGCGACCCGGCACTAGTGTCCAAATTATATGCATACACATGTGAGGTGAGTGAGCCATTCGTCTCCTGTCAGTTATTTCTGTTATCTGAATCGTGCCTTTGAAACCCTCTTTCGTTTGAAAAACAAAGCTTTCTCGATCGTACCTTCGGACACCCTTTTTTGCTCCCTCTTTTGCTTCAAAGGAAGGTAATGCCCGTCCTTGAGGAGGTTGTCGTCCACGTTCACAATTTCTACATGTCAGTGATTGGAGAGGATCACTGACATCGCCAGATGGACCTAGAGGTGATGGTGGTGTGATCATGCCCTTAGGACACAGTCTACTTCGAGTAAGAACGTTGAGTAACAAGGGGTGCCTATGTCCATGCCTTACCTGCCTGTCAACGGCTAGGATTGGAGAGGCTTACCTTTGTGCTTGATGCCATGCGGCAGGCGACAAGTTGGCGCGAGGGTAGGGGCTTAACAAAATGGGCATAGAAATGAAGGGGTAGGGAAGCCCCTCCTTTGGTATGTCTGGCGCTGAACGCCAGACAAGGTGGCAGTGACGAGGACGCTACACTGTGTGCCTTGAGGGGTTGGGAAACCTGCTTTACCTGTCCATCTGTCCGTCAGCAGCAAGGGCGGGAGACGTACAGGCTTATGCTTTTTTGTGCGTAAAGGACGACAAGTACATGCCAGCCATCGGCCGCGGGCCCCTTTTGGAGGCCGCCGTCGCACGGCATTGTATTTTATCAACGGCGCGCGAGCGTACAAAATTTTTGGAGAGGCTCAATCGGATTCTCAACTTGGCGGGGGGGCCATGTACTGGTGGTTTTTAACCACTTGTGGCAATCGGAGAATATGTGGAGGTGGGGGTACTCTACCAAAGGAGGGGCTGAAGAGAAGAAAAAGGTCTCCCCCCCCCACAAGGGGCTGCTGAGCCTGCCTATGTTACCTGTGCCCATCGGACGTACGAGCTTTATGTTTGTGCTTAACCACTTGTGGCAGTTTGGGAGTATGCTGAGGTGGACGTACGAAAGGAGGCGCTGAAGAGAAGACACCCTCCCCTCACTCCCCTCCCTCCGTTCCTACCCCCCCCCCCCCCCCCCCCCTCACTGCTAAGCATGCATTACATGCCTATCGGCAGCAAGGGATGGATGTGCGTAGATGGACATAGCAAAGGATGGGATGAATAGAGGGGGGGCAATGATACACGCTACGAGTAGGAAGGATCGGGCCAGGTAGATGAAGGCAACAGTCTATTTGCAGACTCATTTCACAGGGACTAGGGGGGTCCTGTCTGAAAATTGAAAATCTGTCAAGGACATTATCGGTTTACTTGATGAGAAGGTGGCGGTGAGGAGGAGGTTAGGAGGAAGAGTATCGATGTTAACTGTTTAAACCACGATACAGTGTGTGTTTGTTATTATTGTGGAATGTACAGTACTGAGGACATAATTCTTGAGGGATTGCTGCAATCCACCACCAATTAATTGTCTTTGCGAGTCTTTGCGAGTGTCTGCGATTGTGATCGTCCACGAACGTGAGCGTCCACGATCGTGAGGGCTGAGTTAATGGTTTCCAGGTGCGGTGGGCGCAAGCAGTGAAGGTGAGAACTGTTGTTGTGGAAGCTGTTTTATGTAATATGTTTATATATATAGGGCATATACTCACATGAGGCCTTTTTTTACTTATGTATGAACGTGATTGCGGTCAGATGCATCCACGTCTGGCCGTAATTGCAGTCAGATGCATTTCGAAAAGTGCCATTGTGAGTATGCCGAGAGTGTCCATATCTACACGTCATGAACATGTTTTGTTTCTATTGTGACGTGGACTGTGGATGAGAAGGGTGTGCCTTTGAGAGGTTAGATAGATGTAAGCGAATTGTGATGATCGGTGTTTCCATGTGCTCAGAGAGAAGGCCTTGAACTTCCACGTGCCGTATCACAGCAAAGACCTCCTCTGTTAAGTTTTGTCCTAATCAAGCATTTAGTAAATTAGTAGCATTATAAATAATTATAAATAACAGTGATAAGTTTAACATTCTTCTAGCACTGTCTCGTTCTTGATTTGACAACCCCCTTTTCTCAATACGAGGTGTTCTCTGTGTTGGAGGCAGCGAAATGATCAAACTGCGTATATCACCAACTCACCTGTTCAGCTGCAAATGGCAAACAAGGAGTGACAGATGGAACCATGCATGTATACAAACTGAAACCTGTGTGATACAAATTGAAACGAACTTCCGTGAAGTTCCGTCCTTGTACGGAAATCAGCAACCACATCTTGTCGTTTGTCACTGAAGGCCACAGTTGAAGGGTGAATCCCACTGTGCAAGTGCACGCTGTCACTGAGGGAAGGGCGTGCTTTGTCTTGCTTTGTGCGCCGTGTTATCTTATCTTACCATAGAAATCAATAATCAAGGGTATCATTCCCCTGGCTTGTCATGGAGGCACACATCTCCTTGCCAAAGTTGCCAGTCCTTGCTTTTTTGCAGGGTTAAGTTGGCTCCCACAAACACACACACACACACACACACACACACACACACACACAGAAAGCCCTGTTAAAGACTCGCCCACTAATGTTGGCCTTAACTTATGAACTGGTGAAAGATTGGTCCTCGTGCAATCCCTCTTAAGGGTGTTAGCGGATGTGGCCGACTGCCAGGACAACACTGGGTTACGAAGTGTGCTATAGGTGTGCTATAGGTGTGCTATGGGTGTGCTATGGGTGTTCTATAGGTGTGCTATGGGTGTCTATGATCTTTATTGGATCTGGCTTGCAGCCACCTATACTCGGCTACGAAAGCTTCCCTGCCAAGATAACACTGGGTTATGAAAGTGTGCTAGGGGTGTGCTTGGGGTGTGCTTGGGGTGTGCTAGGGGTGTGCTATGGGCGTGCTACGGGCATGCTATGTTTTAGTGGATCTGGCTTGCAGCCAACTATACTAGGGTACACAAGTTTGCTATGGATGTGTTATGCTTGTGATCTTTTCGAGATCCTGTCTGCCGTGAGCACACACTGGGCTTTGAAAGTATTCCATGGACATGATTTGTCACCTATGCCAAACCGCCCGCACAGCGGGGGTAAGCTTAGTAAGGTCGCGCTGGCGTTTCTGCAAAGCATGGCGTGGAGTGGAGGGGGAAGGCGCTTCGGCAAAAAGGGGTTCTGATGTTCTGGTGACTTAACCTGATTAGAGCCCATAGACAAAGTATTCTGACCTCGTATCATCATTTACGCCCCTGCGCGGTCGTGACTTATTGATTAGAGTCCATAGACAAAGTATTCTGACCTCATATCATCATTTACGCCCCTGCGCGGTCGTGACTTAACCTGATTATAACCCACAGGCAAAGCATTCTGGCCTCGTATCATCGTTTATGCCCCCTGCGGAGAACGTTGACTAGATTTGCCGGATTCTTGCAGTTTGTGGATTTCACGAGTGTGGGTGAATGAATAACGGGTGTCTTATACCACCAGTATGTCGCTGAAGTGCACAGGCATACAACATGTGGGGATGTACCAGCCTGCCCAGCAAGGACAAATTCACATTTGATGGACCTTCATGAAACCGTAGAGAAAGCTGGAAAAGTACTGGTGGTTTATCAGTCCTTCAGGACATCCATCGAAATTGGAACGATACGGAGAAGATTTTAGCATGGCCCTTGCGGAAGGACGATACTATGCGCTAAACCACCATGACCTTTTCCTTGGTACATCAGCCACGGGCCGCTCACCGTGAGTTTCGGAGGCTGGAAACGCGACAAAGGCCGGTGATGAAATTTATCATCCGCGGCCCAACGGTGGCACGGCTCCCAAAGAATGCGCTATAGGTTATATTACCCCTTGGGACTACGCTGAAAGGTAGTGGTGGTTTAACCAAGGGGGGGGGGGGGGGGGGGGGGGGGGGGGGCAGGACAAAAACAGAAGTAAATAAAACAGCTGTCTTATCCTTCTGTTTGCCTGCCTTAAGCACATCGATAGCTAGACTTGATGTTATGTTGAATGGAAGAACAACAGCTGTCCTATCATGTGTCCTTGTATCGCTCTCAATAGCCCATCCACCCATAGCAACACGGATAGCAGCATGCAGGAATCAGCAGGATATGGACTACGGCAAGTACCATGCTATTGGGCGGCGCTTCGGTGTCTATATCCTGCATCGGGCTGCATGGTAGTCGAGTCTCAGCCATGATAATGGGATAGCATTTGCTATTGATGGCAATGACTGTGCATGGTGATTCTCCTCTCCTCGCAGGGTTGGACCCCAAGTGAGTTTCTTCCTGATTAAAATACTGTGAGAGCTGTTCACAGGGGACAGATTCCTCCGTCTTGTCGGTCACAGAACAAAGGAATATTTTTTCTTCGGCTTGTGGAAGCATATATAGATCTAAACTGGCAGAAGAGAGGCCTGATCCTTGCACGGCTTGTGCCTGCTCCACTGCTCACTACATGCACCAGCAATTCCGCGAGTAGCAGAGAGAGGGAGAGGCCCCTTGACATGCCTAAGTGTGATTCTATTGTTTGCCCCACAAGGTGAATGGCATAATAAGACTAAATAAGAGAGAGACTACAATCTAAGAGGCCCTGGCCGACACACGGAATGTATTGGCAACGTGGTGGAAGTGTGGGCAGATGAGTCCTTGATTAACCTCTTCCATAAGGGAAAGGAAAACGTCCTTACCGGGCAAACGCCGAAAGTTGTGAGGTGGTGGAAGAGAATGAGGAGCTGCACAGAATTCGGGTACTGAAACAGAAGGAAGAATGGATTGCATTCCGTCCTGGAACACCCCTTGCCGAACTCCCGTTCGACCCAGAGGAGTGGCGCTGGGCGCCGGCACAAAGAACGCTAATCAACCCCAGCATATGTCTCTACAGCCTGACAGTGAAATCCACTTACCGGCTACTGCGGCCAAAGGTGAACCTCAAGGAGATTGTAAAATTGTAAAAGCCCGCTGGATAGCCCACCTAAACATAAATCAAAGGGCTGTCCGCCCCATCCGATGGTTTTCAACCATGAGATCTAAACCAGCCAAGTTGGTCTTGCTGCAGTGGCAGATAGAACATCGCTGTCTTCCGACCAACAATTGGCTAATAGACCGTACGTTCCTGGAGCAGAAGGGTCTGGCGCTCCCTTGGTGCAAAGCCTGTCAAGACGCCTTCCCCTCCCGTAAGATCCCGGAGACTATAGAACACGTCTTCTTACAGTGCCCAGGGGCGCTCCTCACTTGGCATTGGTGGGACAGGATATGGAGCCAACTGGGCACCGGATCGACCTGGCAATGGGATTGGAGGGCGCTGCTCTGTGAAGCATGGTCCTCCCCCGCGGACAGCGATTTTGAAAGCAACATGTTCCGGCTGGGACGGAGAGCGGTTATTTGGGCACTTTGGAGGAAGCGCTGCACACTCGCCATAGAGGGCGTTCGAATGGAAGGAGGAGAAGTAACGGAAATAATAAAACAGTACGTACAGCAAGAACTTCTCTCGAGATGGCAG